TTAATACCAAAAATCCTGCAAACGTTCAGTTTGTGAATTCGTTGAGAAGCTATGCATACGTAGAGAATAATCATAAATTAAAAGTGTAATCAAATAATTGTTAATATATTTCAAAACAATACTTCTTCTTCTGATTGGAAGCAATGGTAGACATAATACGAATGGAAGCACTTTCTCTGTCCCTGTCTTTGGAGAATGTTTTACGAAAACTTCCGCTCAAAGGCTTTTTGATATTCTTTATGATATAAATGGAGTCATTGACTAAACCATAGGTGTTGTGAGGAATGGATTCCTTCAAAGAGTTAACGCATGAGTTTGTGTCTCAAAACAATTGTATCGACAAAACATACTTTGCTTTTGACACAAATGAGAGCACTTTTATCAAGTTCTTCGCTTAACATTCTGAACTGTTCCCGTTCTTTGCCGTCGCTTTCAAGTGGAATCGTCTCTACGGTAGCGCCGGTCATATCCATCAACGCATACGTTAGACACGCGTTGGCAGCCATTGCTTCATAAGAGCCGTAAAGCTTTGCGTAAGCCTTCAAATGAAGACAAAAAGTTTACAACAAATGTCCTCAAAAATGGTTACAAATGGTTTGCCTTCTCTAAGAGTGAGACCCAAAACACTTGAGGACTACGACTGGAACTGAAGATGAGGTGATTGTCAAATGTGGGCAACCGGTCGTCGACCACCACTTTCAGCCAATCACCCAAATGCCAGAAATTGAATTTCAAGATCCCTCTCAAGAAGTGTCCCTCACTCTTAGGAATCACCTGAAAAAGTGGGCAATCGTTTCAATTGAGTGCAAGTCTTGCATAAAAGGATCGCTGAATAAAACCTTAAATAAGACGCTCTTATGGGTGGCGACGGCCAGAGAGGCGGCGATAAACCACTTGTTGGGTCCGTTGCCGACAAACTCGACGTCAGCGGCCGGACCCAACTTCTCGGCGTACAACAGGTTCGGCAAATCGACCAACTCTTTCGGTCGCTTCCACACAATCCTCCCGACATCGAGTTGTGTCCTGTACTGCGAAGTGACGGCCACTGACTTGTCCTCCGCTTTGAACACGAGGTCACTGAAGGGGAGGCCGACGTCCGTCGACTCCTTCA